CCCCTCCTGAACTAGGGGTAAGACCCCAGGAATCTATTCTGGGTGTTGGGCAAGTGGGTACTTGCTAGTATGGAAGGGGGGCGGGTGGCGCTGTGGGCCCTGGAAGGAAGAAGGAAAAAGATGGGGAGGGTTGCAACAGAGGCTAGAGGAAGAGGGATAGGGGCTGGAGGGAATGATGGGGGGCATTGGCTGAGGGGACTCTGGGGGAGAAAAGCTGGGGAGGGAGGATTGTGCATTTGAACATGAAATTGATCACATGTAAATATAATGCAAATGACATGCAAATGAGCACAGGATTTCTCTGGGTCCAGAGCTCAGGCATTCTCTTTCTTGGACTGAGAATTGGGGCCAATTTGCATCCAGCTCCATGCCCACTGCCTTGTTTCTTTATTATTAATATTTGCAGAGGGAGAGCTCAAGGTCTCACTTGTTAAGGAGGTGAGAGGGCCAAGGTGGGGCTGGTCCGCAGGACTCCCTGGGAAAGGGGGAGGTCACGCCTGGAAATGGTAGCATCACGGAAATTGACATGCCTGATTGACAGTGAGGGAGGCGAGTGGTAGGACTCCTGGGCTCTGTGCCTGAATTGATGGGGGTCAGAGAGGCAGAGGCTCAGCAGTGAGGCAGAAAGATGGAGAGAGACGAATCCCCACAGCTTCAGAGACAGACCTGGAACAGATAAGATGAGGATGAGCCCCATGTCCTATGAGGTAGGTCTCTTCCTGGTAAAGAATGAAAGGATCAGCCCATGGTTCAGAGAGGTAATGATCTTCCTAAGGTCATACCGCTGGTAAGTGCCAGACCCCCAACTGCAAGTTTCCTTGGAAGTTCAGTGCTCTTTTCATCTCGCCATAAGAGCATCTCTGAATGAGATAAACAAAAATAGAGAGCAGATATTCATGTTGTCAATAGGCATTTATTGATCACCTAATAGGTACAACAAGGCTCAGGAGAGAGAGGACTGAGTGTAGACCTCTCAAAACTCAGGCGAGCAGGGGCCATGCAGCATTTTAGCAATTAGTGAAACCCTTAACAGTTGGCAACAAGGGTCATGAAGGAGGCACAAGCAAAGGGAGGACCAGGGAATGTTTCTGAGGAAAGGTGGCATTTGATGTGGGCCTTGGGGGATGGGTAGAATGCATGCCGTGGCAGAGATGCGGAGGGAAGAATGTTCTAGGCAAGGGGAACAAGATGGTGAGCGACAGATCCTCCCAGCTTTGGAGACACACCCTGTGCAAAGGCAGGGTAGGATGCGGAGGTGGGGCTTTCGGGTGTGTTGGAGCACAGAGTGTGGGCAGAGCTGTGAGGGAGGTCAAGCTGAGATGCTAAGGGGGTGTCAAGATGTGAGAAGGGTGGGAGGCCAAGCCAGAGATGTGGGATGTCACCTGGAGGTCAGCTGGAAGTAGAGAATAGGGTAAATCATTTGATCCTTCACTTAGTCAACAGACATGTACACTAACCACATGCCAGGGCTGGGATGCAAAGATCAGATGTGTCCCTCTTTCAGGAAGCTCAGTCAGCTTCAGTGTCCTCATCAGTAAATGGGGTACAAGAGTGGGCCCCTCACGGTGTTAGTGTGAGGGTTAGATGGGAGAATCCACTCCAAGTACTTAGGGTGCTGTCTGGCGTAGAAGCAGCACTTAGTAAAGGTTAGCTATTGTTGTTATCATCCTTCTCCTTCTGAAAGGTGTGGAATGGAGGACAGAGGCAGGAAGAGGGGTCATCAGTCCACGGCAAAGCTTGGGGAGAGGTGGAGTGGGGCAGTGTGGGTGGAAAGGAGGGGATAGGTTAAGGGGGCTGTAAGGACAAGAAAATGCAAGTGCCAGAGCCAGAGACAGGGGCAGGGCAAGTGCAGTCTGGGAGCACTGCAGCGGGGAGAGCAGGGCTGGGGAGGTTCGTCCTTGGTCAAGTCCGTGCTCTGTTGCTAATTTGCTGGGCGTGAAGGGCAGAGCAGGGCCTGGGTGGTGGGTCAGCTGGCAGCTGGGGCTCTTGGGTCCTATTCCCACTTCGCTACTTGGCCCCCCTTCCAGTGTCATCTTGACTCTTCTCAATTGCTTAATTCGGCTCAACCTGTGAAAGACACCCCTCCCACTTTGCCCAACGTGTAACTTCCATCTTCCTGCTGCAGGACTTGGGGACCAGTCCAGTCCCCTTGGCTGTCTGTCTGTCTGATGTCTGTGTGGTCCCCTCAGGATAATTGCTCTGGACAACTCTAACACCGCTCAGACAGATTGGCTGGCCTCCTGGCCCGACATCTCCCACCACTGTATCAAGCCAAATTATTCAGCCTCCCCCCAGCCCGGGGCTCTGGTGAAATCCGATTAGTGAGGAGAGAGCTGCACTGAGCTGACAGCTCCTCCGATAATTGCTTCCCAAGTAAGCGATGCAAATCAGCCCATCCAGCCTGTCCCTGCTTCTCTCCTTAGGACCCAGGCGTCCAGGCCCCAGAAGAGAGAACACCTGAATTGGGGAGGCTTAGAAGCTGTCACCTGCCTCCAGTTAAGTGGCCACCAATCCATAAAGCTGGTCTGTGCTTCCTTGGGGCTGAGGTGGGGGTGGTGGGGTGGTGAGGAAGGACCAGGGACCCCACTGGCTCTGCATTTCTGTCTTAACTGAGAGAGTGTCACTCTGCCTCTCACTCTCACTCTTTGGAGAAGAATCCTATGTACCCATTTCCCAAAAAGGTAGATGAAGGCAGAGATACAGAAGACAGAGACAGAGAGATGGCTGAACCTGTTAATAAACAAATGGATGAATTCATAGCCTGGCTCCCCTGGTTCTCTGGGTCTAGGAGGGAGGTGGGAGCGGGACCTGTAGGACCTGCAGATAGCTTGTGAGTCTCTTCCCTCCCAGGCTGGGGGAAAGACATTGAAGGTTAAGTTTCCACAGAGCTGGGATGGGGCTGTGATATGATCTACCTGGGGAAGCTTGGGGAGTTTGAGCAAAGCTTGAGACTTTGTGTCTATACCAAGGAGGATAGGTTCGTGGATGCAGTGGCCCCTGCTCACTCCCACACATCAGGGACCTCGCTCCACTTCCCTAAACTGGGGTCCTTTTAAAGGCCAGTTAATGCCTCTGCCGTAATGCCTTTCCTTCTTACATCTTTACCTCAAGTTCTTTATTTCTCTGACTCCCTCATCCCATCTCCTGGTGATCTTGGAGTTCTGAAAAGTACTTCCCTTGCAGTCCTGAGCTTCCAGCTCCCAACCCTAGCCTGTATGGGTCACTGTCTTTATGAAAATCGCCTGGGATGAGTTGCCCAGTCTTGTTCTTTGTGCCTGTGTGTCATGTGGCTGTATAACCTGGATCCTGGGTTCTCAGACTAGCATCTGCCTGAGACCTTGGCCACATGGTCATAACAACAAAAACTAACCTTTCTGGAGCACCAATTCTGTGCCAGGAACCATGCTAAGAAACTTATATAATTAATTCATTTAATGATCACAAAAGACATGGAGTACAATGATGATCCCATTTCACAATTGAGTTAACTGAAGCACAGAGAAGTTAAGTAACTTGCCCAAGGCCACCACTAGTAAATGGCAGAGTTGGGATTGAAGTCTAGGCCATCTGGGTCCAGAGCCCACACTCTAAAGGCCTCTGTTAAGTCGTCTCTCCTCTCCGAGGCTCTTTTAATGTGTATTGGGCTGACTGAGAGAGGGCAGTTGCCTAGTTTAGTGGAGCTGGGGAAGATGGCTACATCAAAGTCAAATACAAAAACCTTTGGGGTTCTTGAGGCCAGAGGTGGCGGGAGCTGACATGGGTGATACCTGATGTTTGGGGGAGGGGAAAACATGGCCCTCACCTTTTCCAACCTCAAATACCTATTTCTGCCCTGCAGCTGGACAACTCCCTTTCCTACTCAAGGGAGCACAGAGGCAGGGAAAGGGCCGAAAGATCAGCCTAGAAGCCTAAGTGAGCTGGGAATCAGAGCTATGACCTCCAGAGGCCGATAGATGGCGCTCGTGGCCCAATACAGCTCTGGCAGCCCACGGAAATCAAAGGAAAACAAGCCCCAGGTTAACCCCTTACAGCCTGGGCTCTGGCCCCGGGAGCAGGCTGGTGGGTGGCAGAGGACACTGTCCCAGAACTGGCTGGCCCCTAGGGAGTGACTCAACGCTCTAGGCTCTGTCCAGGCCACCGCCTGGGTCTGCTTCTGCTCCTGCCCCACAAGGCTCTATCCATAAATCAATCAGCCAGTCCCTTGGAGACTTCCCAGAGGGCCAGGAGACGAAGACATGGACGAGGCAGGTTGGGAGGGCCCTGCCCCAGCCCAAGTTTCCTCTCTTAGGCTCTATCTCTTGAAAGTTTGTGGGTGTCTGTTTCTAAGCACTTCACACCGTGGAGGTATGGAGTGCTTCACCTCCATCTTCCCTCAGAGGGACTCATCAGGTGGGAGGAGTAGCATGGACTAAAGACAGAGAAGACCCTCAGGGGTCAGCTACAGGGACTCCCTGTAGGCTTGCCGAGACTGAATCTCTTCCTATGTCTGGACTCTTTATCCCTGGGGTGAATGGGCTTACAGGGACAGAAACAGTTCTGCAACTCTTCCAGGAAGTTGAAATTGGGGGTGGGGGTCTCCACTTGCCTGTCGCTCATTTCACTCATTCCTGTCCTTCCAGAAGCAGACTTAAAATGTGGAGGAGCCGCCATGATGATAAACTGGAAGTGCCTGGCAAGCAAGTGGCAGAGGGGCAGGGTAGGCAGGAGGGTTGTCTAAGGGGTGGTGAGCTCCTAGAATTCTTAAGCAGTGAGATGACACCCCAGTATGGTTCCCTCTCCCCACTAAATTTTGTTCAGAGACACACAAGTGCATAGATCTACAGAGACAGAGGAGCTGGGTGTGTGTGTGTGGGGTGTCAGTTCTAGAAGCTCAGGCTAATTTTATTTCAGTCATTCCAGAGAAAGAAGCAAAGATAGGGAAATAGATGTACACACACACAGAGAAAGACACACACAGAGATTACAAGAGATTAGGGATAGAGATACATTTATGTGGGCAGAGAGAGAGGCAAAGACACAGAGGAGGGAAAGAATCTGGCACAGATGAAAACTCAGGAAATAATGTACTTTGTGAGGCGTATGATTAATTCAATTTCCAAAATCTTGCAAGAGTGGGAGTGGTTTCTTACCTTTGGTATCAGAGGGTCACTGCTCACAGTTCTCTGAAGCTCCTGCTGCACCCTTAGGTTTTTGTCTGTTGGTAGAACAGGGGAGTCTTGGGAAGGAGGTAGCATCCTTATTCTCTCACCTCTTCCTATTCTTGGGTTTATTGGGCTCCTTCCTTACTCTCTGTAAGGAGACCTTGCTTCTCCCTGATCTCAGTTGTAGCTGTACTGAGGTGTGCAGGAGATAGGGGTGGGAGGAATCTACAAGATAACTGGCCTTAGGGGGTTTCCAGTCTAATGAAAATCTTATAGTCAGGGCACCAAAACAGACCCAGACAAAGGACAAGAACAAAACTAGGTGTGGAACAGCTTTGGATATTGGTGTTGGATTGGGGAGGTGGGAGGGAATGGGCTGTTAAGTGAAGCCATGGGATTGGGGTTGGTCAGGGGAAAGTGTCCTGGACATAGTATCTGAGGAGGAGGATTGAGAAAGATAGGAGAGTATAGAGCTGGGCAAGTGAGGCAGAGGAGTGAGAGAAGTCAAAGATAAAGCCAGGGAGACAGGAGCTTGGTCAGTAATGGGGGTTGGAAGAGTCTCAAAGCGATTATTAAGAGTTGTTAGGAGATGCCAGCAGTGCCTCTGTGAATGTTCTATATGCAGTCCTTGGAAGGCTACAAAGGAGGGCATCTTCAGCTATTGTTAATACCCTACGGTGAGTTGAGAGATTGGGGATGGTTGAAGCTCCTTGATTTACAATCCTTTTGGGAAAAGTGTTGTGGATGAATTTTTGTAAGGGTGATACCCTTTAGAGCTAGAACTCAGGATCTCCAAGGTCCTTACAGAGTCTGGCCCTCTCTTCGCAAGTCTTCTTGATTGAGTCCTGAAGTAAAGAATAAACTACAATCCCCAGCGTCGCTTAGTGCTAATTTAGCAAGCCTTCCGGGGATATGAGTATTTCCTGCGGAAGTGGCCGCAGCTACGCCAATCTCCTTCCCTAAACAAAGTAGACTACGACTCCCACTGTCCTCCGCGCCCGGGGGCGGGGGAAATGAACCGGAAGCCGGATGGGGAGCTGGACCAGGTGAGGAAGTAGGAGGCTGTGAATCTGCGGTGTAGTGGGCAGGCTGGGGGCTCCCAGGGCTCCCGGGCGGCGGTTGGCGGGGTGGCGGAATGTCTGTGTTTTGGGGCCCCTCGCCCTGTCTGGGGCTTGCCCCGACGCAGGGACCGCCAAGCCCACGGAACCTCCCGGGAGGCCTGCGGGGACGAGGCTTTCCCATCAGGCGGAGCCCGTGGGCGGACGCGGAGATTTTCTGCGGAGTTTTTGTGTCGGCCCCTGGGAGCCAGGAGGGATGAAGTGGTGTTTTCGAGGCCATACCTTATTATTTTTATTATTATTGGTTTAAGGATTTGCTGATTGTCCCCGTGGATTTCTGGAGTGCCCCCGAGGGACAGGAGAGTGGATAGTGTCTTCGATTCTTTCTTCAATTCCTCGATTTAGTGTCAGAAAAACTAGGTGGCCAGACTTATCGCTGGAGCCTCATCTGCTTCTTCTGCCCTTAATGTGATATGATACTGTAATTTATACAATATCTACGTTTCTTAAGTCTCTGGCTCTTGGTGACTTTAGGACTTCCAAGTTCCTCTTTTGGGCTCTCCTAGTATTTTGTTCCAGACATTAAAGCTCGAGTCACAGTGTATTAGAATTGTTTATCTGTCCTCAGTAATTTATGAGCCTGGCCTACATTTTACTCATTTTGAGTTTCTTCCTCACCAAGAGACTGCCACGTTACCTATCATGTAAGAGACTCCTAAATATTGAAAAAATAAATTAATGGCTGGTGGTAGGTTGGGTGGAATTTCTCATTTTCATTTCATAGATAGAAGAGTAAAATGATTTGCTTAAGAGAACCTTAGAGTTGAAACTAGGACTAGAATTTGAATCAAATGATACCCAGCCTGTGGCTCTTGCTATCAGATCAGGCTTTAAAACCCTGGAACACTGAAAGTAATGCCTGTCATCTTGTGTACCCCCAGCCTTGCTGTCTCCAGCATAGGTCTCTAAAGATCAAAGGTACGTCCAATTTAAGACTTGACAGAGATCCCAGAGCTCAAGCAGCCAATCCACTCATGTGGGTACTACATGGGGAGATGTAAAGTAAGGGCCCCTGAGACATGTAAGTTCTCCATAGCTTCCTTCTCTGCTTGTGTTTGAGTATAGTTGGCCCTGGGTAGCCACCTGGACAGATCAGTTAAAGATTTCTGAGATCAGCCTGGGGAAGAAGTTCTTAAGTTTGGCCTTTGATTTCTTCCCCCCCCCCTCTCTTTTCCTCTAGGTTAGGGTCAGAGAACAGGTTGATGGATGAAGCTGTTGTGTCAACCGTGAGTTCCCATCTTGGGGAAGAGGTCATTCTTGACCAGGGCAAGGGGCTGAGAGGGAGAAAGAACCATGGTTCCTGCCATATGGGAGGTCCATATGTGATGGAAACACGTCCAGAGCCTCACAGAGCCCTGAGAAGCAAGCAGAGTACAAGTGGGCAGCTGATCCTTCAGTGACTTCACAATGTAGAAGTGGAGAGGAGTCCATCAGGAAAGGCTCTTTGGTAGAAGGTAATTTTCAACAGGGATGGACAGAGCTGAGCAGGTGTTGACTACCTAATAAGAGCTAGGACCTTGGAGACATGGAGCGAAATTGAACAGGGACTGGCCTCTGATCTCAAGTCTATTAAGGGGCAGTGTTTGAGTTCATGAAGAAGCCACTAACTATGGTGACACACAGTGGTTCTCTGCTTTCACCAGCCATCAGAAACACCTGGGGAAGCTTGTTTAAAATACAGATTCTCAGGTCAGACCTACTCATGTGGGGTGGGGCTGGGAAACTATGGCAAATGTTCGAGTGTCTTGAGGGAGGGAGGGGCTTTCCCAAAGGGATAGTTTGAGCCGCTTCTTGAAAGATGGGTATAATTTGGAGGTGTGAAGAGTGGAGGAATCACAGTCCTGGTTGACTCAAGGAGTGTGGCTGGATTTGTAGAAATGGGGCATGCAAAGTTTGGGTGTTGGGGTAGGAAAGGCATTTTGAAAGTGAGTGGAATGTTAGGTTGGAACACTGGGCTTGCATGGGAGTGGTGAGAAGGAAGGTTGGAAGGAATGGCCTTTGCAGGTTACAAAGCTCGCTTGAGAGTTCCTCTTCCTCCCCACTTCTTCCCTCTTTCTCTTCCCCCTTTGCTCCTCCCCCCCTTACACATAACATCTCATTCTATTTCTTATATTAATATTAAGTGGATATTACTAGTATTTCGATGAGGAAATCAGAGGCTCTGGCCATGATTACATAGCTTGTAAAAGTCTCTTCTGAGGCAGATAATCATCCTATTCACCACTAAAGCTCCTTGAATGTGGGCAAGAAGCTGGCTGGGCTGTGGGTTAGAGGGTTGTAGAATTAGCAGGGTGGGTGATTGAACATGTGGGTGGTTAAGAGTGTACAGCCTTGCGTCAGATAGTTTGGGTTCAGATCCCAGCTTCATGACTTGCTAACTGTGTGACCCTGGCCAAGCTGCTTGATCTTGCTAAGCCTCAGTCTTCTTACCTGTAACATGGGAGCAATAATACCTACCCCATGGGGTTGTTATGAGGATCAATGAGGTGCATCTGGCACAGAGCACTTGCTCACCACCTGGAAGCTATTGTAATTAGCCCTCTGTAATTAGTCTCTGGGCTATGGCTTTGCACCTGCATCTCATTCTCTAGCACATTGGTTTCCAGGACACAGCCCACCCTGGCTGGGCTTGTTTTATTAAGGGTGACATTAAAGGTGCTGAAAGTTTGCCACCAGTAAATATGTATTGGAAACTTATCGTGTGCTTAGCATGGCCTAGGAACCAGTGACTCAAGACCTGTACCTAATGGAAAAGAGGTTTGGAGTGGGGGGTGGTTGGTGGTTATGGGTTATTGTCACCAGGTGCTGAATGAAGAATACTTCAAGTGGGGAGAGAAGGGGTCCTCTCATTGCCAAGAACTGAGATGAGCTCAGTCCTGCCTGGAGGTTGGGGGGTGACTGATAGTCTCTTCTGAGCCCAGGAAATTGTAGTAGGGGCCCTGGCCAGCCTGGATTGCTCCCACTCTAGGGCTGAGGGGGGCCTCTGTCCATATCTTTTCCAGGTGATGATGACATGGCTGTGCCCCAGGCCTTCCCATTGGGGCCTCTCCAGGAGCCTGCAGGTGTCCTGATGGAGCCTCAGCTCTGCCCTCAAAGCTTGGCCGAGGGCTTCCTGAAGGAGGAGCTTCGGCTCAATGCTGAGCTGAGCCAACTGCAGTTTTCAGAGCCTGTGGGCATTATCTACAATCCTGTGGAGTATGCGTGGGAGCCACATCACAGCTACGTGACCCGCTACTGCCAGGGCCCCAAGGAAGTGCTATTCCTGGGCATGAACCCGGGACCCTTTGGCATGGCCCAGACTGGGGTAAAGGGCTTGGCTGCCCCTAGAGGGTGGAGTGGGAGGCTCCACGCTGGGTGCTTGGCTGCATGTGCTGTGGAGGAGCATGTGCACAGCTGTGGACGTGTGGGTGGGGGGGCGGGGGAGGGGCGTCCCTTCCCACTAAACACACTGGCTCCTGTGGTCTCAGACACTCTCCCGGCCTCACTGCCCATAGTTACCAAGCACATTAATGGTAGTTCCGTTTCCCCTGTGAGCTGTCCACTAATTGCCTCTGAGAGCCCTTCCTTCCGCCAGCCCCATCCTTACCTTACCTTGCCGGATCTCCCCTCTCCTTAGAGTGTGGTTGGGATCAGGAGAGGGACCAGGACTGCTGGGTCCTCAGGAGAGGCTGGCTGACAGGGTTGGGTATGGAAGCAATGCAGGGCATTCAGGCAACCTGGGTTCTGTTTTTAGCCGAGGAGAGGTTCCGAACAGCCAGGCTCCAGGGCTTGCCTGCTTTCCTTTCAGACCTTGGGATGAGTGACTGCCTCTCAGTGGGGGTGCTTGGCAGGTGGGGGAGGGGAAGAGGCTTCAGGGCAAGAGGCTCAATCGCTTTTATTGACCCCAGCTGGGGGATGAAAGATGATCAATGATGATCGATGGAAATGACAGTCTGAGGCTTGGGGCTGAGAGGGCACCCAGAGAGCAGTGGTCAGCCCTGTCCTTGTGCCTCCACTCACCCTGGTGGCCTTTCTGTCTCAGACCATTGGTCCTCAGTACTGCTACTCACCATACCATGTATAGGGCCAGATGTCCCCATGTACTCCCTCTACGTGGTCCCAGAGGCTAGTGGGGGTAGAGGCGAACAAATAGATTCTTTTGGGCCACAGTCCACAATTGGAGTAAGAGGGACAGGATCAAACCACAGGTCCAGGGATCCTTGTCTCAGGCCTTTGGGTGAAGGTGGTGGGGTTGGGGCGGGGGTGTTGGTGTCCAGGCTAGATCCTCATGGAGGGTGGGAAGGGGTCAGTTGGTCCAGAGTCCTCCAATTTGAAGCCCTCATGTCTCTCTCCTTCCCCACAGGTGCCCTTTGGGGAAGTGAGTGTAGTCCGGGACTGGTTGGGCATTGGGGGCACTGTGCTGACCCCTCCCCAAGAGCACCCTAAGCGACCAGTGCTGGGACTGGAGTGCCCACAGTCAGAGGTGAGTGGTGCCCGGTTCTGGGGCTTTTTCCGGAACCTCTGTGGACAGCCCGAGGTCTTCTTCCGTCACTGTTTCGTCCACAATCTGTGTCCTCTGCTTTTCCTGGCTCCCAGTGGGCGCAACCTCACCCCTGCTGAGCTGCCTGCCAAGGAGCGAGAGCAGCTTCTTGGGCTCTGTGATGCAGCCCTCTGCCGGCAGGTGCAGCTGCTGCGGGTACGGTTGGTGGTGGGAGTAGGGCGGCTGGCGGAGCACAGGGCACGGCGGGCCCTGGCAGGCCTGATGCCTGAGGTCCAGGTGGAGGGGCTCCTGCACCCCTCACCTCGGAGCCCACAGGCCAACAGGGGCTGGGAGGCGTTGGCCAAGGAAAGACTGAATGAGCTGGGGCTGCTGCCGCTGGTAACAAAATGAGTGCCCTGGGGCCCCGCACACTTGCATGGCCCCCACGTCATTGTTGGGCACACAGATGACTACACGCCTCCTGGACTGGAGCAACAAGGCCTTCCTCAGCTGCCTGGTTGCTGGGACCTGCTGTGGCAGTTCTGACACTACTCCCACTTGCCCTCCTGATTCCTGCTGTCTTCCCCTTCCTTTGGACGTTTCCTCTTTGGTCCTTTGGTACTTAACTCCACGGAGAGTCAGCACCTACAAATTGCTTACTTCACTGTTTTCCTTGGGAGCCTCTGTTCAGCTGAGCAACTTTTGAGGTCACGTTTGCTGTTTTAGAGAAAAGATGCTTGCCAGGATCCCCACCTATTCTCATAGAACAGGGGTCTCATAGAACGGACCTCTTTCCTCACAGGGACCAGACAAAGCATGGGGTGTGGTGGGTGTTAAGGATGAACTTATGGAAGACAGGCTGGATCAGAGAGAAAATTCAATGTGGCAGAGTGGGAAAGGCTAAAAGACCTGGACTTTCGTCCCAGCTTTGAGTCTTGTGAACTTGATGACTTTGGACAAGTTGATTAATCTCTCCAAGCCTGAGGATCCTCATCTTTAAAACGGGGGTCCCTACCTTATGGAATTGGTGTGGGGATTAACTGAGATAACACTTAGAAGTGCCTTGTGTGGTGCCTGTCATGAACATGGTGCTAATACCTCTTTCTTGCCTCGGGTGGGGAGTCACTGCACTATAAGGGAAGACCCTCAACTTGAAAACCTTGCTGAGCAATTGGGCAGCGGGGGTGGTCCTTGGCCTCCAGCTGTGGCCTGGGTGAGGAGCAGACTCTTGCCCTGCCAGAGATGGACCAATGACTTTATGAAAAACCCAGCCTGTGATTTTTCAGTCTAAGCATTAAAAGCTAAATCTTTTTGTGTTGGTCCCTTTTTCTCTCTTGTATGTCAAGGCTAGAAAGTGATAGTTTAGATTTTTTTCCCCTCGGGTAGTTGGGGGATGGTGTAAACAGTTCTCCAATTGCCTGCAGGGTCTCTGTTAAGGGGCCTGTCCAGTGGTTTGTCTGCTACTCAAGGCACTTTGGGGAGCAGGTGATGGGTGGATGAGAGCCTGGTATCTCCAGCTAACTCATTTCGTACATCTGCTGCATGGCTAGTTAGTGTGCCCCACTGGAAAGGGCTGGGAGATTTAATCAGTTCGGGAGTAGAGCAAGTCTTGAGACCACCTTAACGAGGAATACAGTTGGACTCTACCTCCTGGGACAGGTTATCTCCAGCTTTCAAAATTAGTAAAATTTTTAGTTTAAGTGTCCAAGCACCCACCCTGCCCCCATTGTAGAATAAAGAATTTGGCCTTTGTCCTTGGTTCTTTGGAGAAAGCCTCTAAATCCTTGGACTTTTCCAAATGATAGGAATTTCTTTGTTATTCACAGTGGATACCTCAGACCACACCTGAGTTTATGCTGAAGTTGGAGGGTGAGGGCTGATCATGCCAGAAAAACAACCATGTAATTAGAGGGTTGGGGCTTTGAGCCAGGTGATCTCAGTTTGACCTCCAGGGAGGGGAAGGGGGCTGAAGATTGAGTTCAATCAGGTCAATTATTTCAATCAATTATGCCTATATAATAAAACCCTAATAAAAACTCGGGACACTGAAGCTTTGGTGAACTTCCTGGTGGGTGAACACATGGATGTGTAAAGAGGGTGATGTGTCCTGATTCTGTGGGGAAGAGGCACAGAAGCTGTGTTTGGAACCCAGAACTTACCTTATATGTCTCTTCATTTGGCTGGTCTTGATTGATACTCTGTAATAAAACTAATTGTAAGAGTGCTTTACTGAGTTCTGTGAGTCATTCTAGCAAATTATTGAACTAGAGGGGGTCATGGGGACCCCTGAATTTGTAACCAATTAGAAGTGTAAGTGGCCTGGGGTCCCCTGAATGTGCAGCGGGCATCTGAAATGAGGGCAGTCTTACTTGGGACCTTGCCCCTAAACCTGTGGAGTGTGGGCTATCTACGGGTAGTTAGCATCAGACTTGCATTACCGTTTTGCATCCCACATGCCTTAGACTTCTTTTCCTCTCGGCTGCCAGTGCTACAGTGCCAGGCAGTCAGTACCCCATGTTGCAGAGCACTGGACGAGGCACTGGAATAACTGCACAGAGATAGATGCCCTATTCTCATGTATTTAGCTGAGGCAGTCAGCTAAAAAAGGGAAAGCTCCCTGGAGGAGATGGCATTTCAGGTGGCTTTAGTGGGGAAGTTTTGGAGAGCTTAGAGAAGAGCATTGTTATGTTCAAGGGATGGGAAGTAGATTAGCCTTGACTTGGCCCAATTGGGAGGAAAAGCTGGAGAGGGAAGTTGAGGCCAACTTGTGAAGGGTCTTGAATGCTAGACTAACTTTTGAGAATTGAAAGTCTAGTGGGAGAAGTGTGATACACAGAACACATACTTTAAAGCACCCTGTAGGTGGAAACCCACAGATGAGGATGAAGGGGCAAGCCCTATAGGAGGCAGTTGTAGGTGCAATGGCGTCAGGAATGGAAAGGGAGGGGGTTAATGTGTAGGGAGGATGTTCTAGGGCGATAGCAGGGTCCAGGTGGAAGCCTAGAATTGGGGTGAGACTCATGAGATGGTGGGGGTAGGGTTGGGCATAGAGGTACTTGAATAGCTGTGAACAGGATAACTTGAAGACAGGTGTGGTAGAGTCACTGCTGTATCTGGCTTCTAGTGGGGCTGTTGCCTTCAGCTCTTGGGGTGCATTCTGTCAAGGAGAGGCTGATTAGGGTCCCAGGCCTGCCTTTCTCTAAGGGCACTGTACTAGTCTGCTAGGGCTGCCATAACAAAAATAACCACAGACGGTGGCTTAAACAACAAATTTATTTTCTCACAGTTCTGGAGGCTGGAAATCCAAGATGCAGAAGTCAGCAGGTTTTGTTTCTCCTGAGGCCTCTCTCGGCTTGCAGATCGCCGCCTTCTCGCTGTGTCCCCCTATGGCCTGTTCTCTGTGCACTACTCCCTGGTATCGCTCTTCTTATAAGGACACCAGTCATAGTGGATGAGTGCCCTACCTTATGACCTCACTTAACCTTAATTACCTCTTGAAAGGCCCTGTCTCCAAATGCAGTCATATTGGAAGTTAGAGCATCAACATATGATTTGGTGGGTGGTGCACCATTAAACATTCAGTCCATGATAGGCACCTAAAATGTCACAGCTTTTTCTGTCCCCCACCAGTTTCAACCTCTAGCAGATGAAGGTACTCAGGAGTGCCTTGTCTCCAGTCTGGGAGGGCGTGGAGGCTGGTGTGGTGGTTTAGCTAGCTGATAGGACTTAGTCCACCAGACAGGCCCCTACCTCCCAATTCATTCTAGAACAGTTTCTTCAGTACAAATAAGACTCTCCTTAGGGGGGCCGGCCAAATGGCACGTTGGTTAAGAGTTGGCTTGGGACACCAGCTCTGAGCAGCATGGCCCCAGCTCGGATCCCACATGAGGGCCAGTGACGCTGCGCCCTCTACAGCTAAGATGGTGAACAACAGCTCGACCTGGAGCTGGGCTGCCTTGAGTCACTGGCGATGGCGTAGGCTGCAGCCCCTGCTGCAGTGGCTGCTGTGAGCTACCGTGAGTGGCCGGCAGCCAGCGTGAGCTGCTGTGAGCCGCTGTGAGCAGCCGTCCAATGGCTGGCGACTGATCTGCCTCGCCCGGGAAGAGCACAATGATCACAATATCAACATGGGCCAGTGAAGGGACATCCTCCACAACTAGACCGAAGAACAAAAGGACAGCAACTTGTCTGTTCCCCTTCCCCCGATTCCCCAACCCTGTTTCCCTCCCTCAATACCACAATTAAAAATCTTAAAAAAAAAAAAAAATCTTAGGGAAAGCTCATTGTTTTCTTTAGCGCCAAAGGGAATGGAGACTTCAGCTGCTATAAAACAATATTGTGAGAAGCATTTCAAAGCCAAATTGAAGTGATTTGGATCATCTAGAGTTTTGCAGTCCAATGTAGTAGGCACTAGTCCCATGTGGCTGTTTAATTAAAATAAGGAAAATATCAAGTTCAATTCCATAGTCACCAGACATATTTCAAGTGCTCAAGAGCCACACGTGGCTAGTGGCTACTGATTGGATGGCACAGATAGGGAACATTCCATCATTGCAGGAAGTTCTGTTGGACAGCACTGATCAGTGGCTTACAACCCTGTCTGTGAATCAGTTCACCAGCGGAGGTTTAAAAAAAGGACAAGTGTCCCTGCTCCACTTAAGAGATTTTAGATTTTGACTTGGGATGTCTGAAGTGCAGCCTTGTATCTATTTTTCTTTGGGTTACAGATATGCAGCTAAGATTAAGGCAGGATTACTCTGGTGCCTTGAAGGTAAGGAGTGGGTCTCTTATTTTCCATTCCCCAGTATGTAACTCCACACCTGGCACAAAACAGGTGTTCAGGACAAATGTGCAAGTAACGCAAGAACCTGGTTTTGGAGATCTAACCCAAGCTGCCTAGTCACTAACATGAGTATCCCCAGAGTTGCTTTTTCCCAGGGATGGTGATTCAAGTTCTGCTTCAGAGGAGTGATAGAAGCTTAAAAGTCCCATCCCAACATGCATGTGCACACACACACATACATACTCAATTTGTGCTTGGAGTAGGAGTGCTTCTGAGACTGAGGGATGGAATGTGTTGGCGAGTAAAGAGACCCTTCCTACTCTTTTTTTTTCCCTGACAAACAGGATGGCTCAAAGGAAGACTGAGTCTTGAGTTGGACCACTGTGTGGTCCTTTCTTTTCTCAATTCAAATAACATATATTGATGTTCGCTGTGTGCCATTCCCCACACTAGGCATGGTAGGGAGTGACAGAGGTGAATTAGGTGGTTCTTTGCCCTCACGTTGCTCACTGTCTGGTGCTGGGAGATACAGGCATATAATTATAGTATAAATCAAACGGGAAACGTGTTGTGAACATGTTCTAAACACGGTGCTCTGGGCACGCTGACTGAGGACGTGATTAGCCCTCAGAGTGTGGGTAGGAGGTGTGTGTGCCTATGAGAGGGCAGTGACTGGAGAGTTCTCTCATCAGTTGACAATCTTGCTACCTCCATGGAGTGGCTGTTGGAAACGGGGTCCACTGTGTCAGATCTCTCCAAGAATTTCTCAGCCCCAACTGCAAGGAGATAGAACACAAGATAAGAGGAGGGGCTGGGGGGCAGGAATTGGCAGGAGCCAAGGGTTGGGCGAGGCTCTATGGGAGACGGGAAGTGGGGCTTCCTCTTTCATCTATTGTTCTGTGAACCTCCAGGATAGCAAACCCGCAGCAGGTTGTGTCAGCGTTGCCAAGTGCTGGACGGAAAAAAGACCAGAAACCCAGCCTGGGTATAGCTGGGCAGAGAAGATTAAGTAGAATGCAGGGAGGGAATAGAGATTGTGGCCTACCCTGGACTAAGTCTCTAACTGTTCAAATTTTCCTGTGTAGGAGAATGTAGGCCAGCTGTTTTCTATTTTTTCCTAATGCCCCAAAGAAGGAAATAATTTGAATGGAGCATGAGCTATTGAGGTTAGACACATGGATAAACTTCCCAGCTATGACCATCAGGTGATGCAGATATAAACTGCTTTGGGGGAAGCTGAATTGCTTTCTTCTATAGAGGACTTAATGCCAGCCTGGCCCCAGCCCAAGCTTACCAATCAAGGTTGAATTATAATGTATTTGGGGAAACTTTTTCTTCTTTTTCCTCTCCCTGCCTGTTTTGACCCTCATTATGTCAAACCAAAACAAAACAACTGCAGTAAAATTTTGCTGCATATATTTTTGCCCATTCATCTGCCCCTACATCCCGCTCAAGGATCTCAGTCTGATGTCAGTCTCTAGGCCCAGTTTGCAAAGGGGTGGCTGAGAGCCCAGAACAGTCCTGCATGGTGGCCTGTGCCAAGCCAGGTTGCCATTTCCATTTTCGTTAATTGAAGCAGCTTGACCCTTATCATTTCAGGCCAGCAATTTCCTGTCTGCCGGCTGGGGGAGTGTAGAGGACATGCCTCAGCAGGTCATTCTGTCCTTCCATCTACCTTGATGGTGCTAACTCCTAGTCCAGGCTGCAAAAATGGCTCTCGGATTGCAGTTGAGGGGGGGGGGAACCCAGCCTCCCACAAATGTACAGCTTCAACTCTTGGGATCCCAAACTTTCTGTCTTCTTAGGAAGGCCTTCATGGTGTCTACCCTCAAGCCTACCTGTTAACAGTTTTGGCTCAGTTTTGTTTGTTTCTTTGCTCAGTTTTAAGAAATGTAATGATTGATGCAGTTGCCTGTCAGAACCTCATCAGATGGTACTTTCTGCTGTGGCCTGGGAGAAGAACAAGATGTCTTTGAAGGAAGGATTTGCCTTCCAATCCTGGAAAGGCACACAGTGGAGTGATTGGGATGTGATGGCTTTGTTCCAAGTGTGAGGGTGAATGTGTGTTTTGCTCCTTCCCTAGCTTTGAGGAAGGCCTGTCTGTGTGTCACCCTGTTAGGTCACTGAGTTAGCATGATCTTGTTCCTGTGTGTGGTAGTGTCACTTTGTAAGAACCGTTCCAAAGGGCAGTGTGATGTGTTTGTTCCTTCTCAGGTGTAGACAGATCTCCAGTGTATGCATGCATTTGTGTGCTTTTGTGATCCATGGGGATCTTTTTTGTCTCTGCATTTTGTAAGCCTCCCAGATGGACAGTTGTGTAATTTAGTGTGACCCATTTTTGCTGCTGTTTTGTCATTGCGTGTCTGTAGTGTCTGTAGACACTTTTGTGTAGTCTCTGCGTTTTTACGCATCTTCATGGGACTTGTGTCTTTCTGAGTGTCC